ACATGGTATTACAACTACAAGTTGATGTGATCGGTCTTTGAAGTTACAGTCAACACTTTTGTGACTATTAACAATTTCCCAGTCTCTTAGGTATAGCCTTTTTGGCCGTATTTGGTACAAGTTTACGTAAAAACCAACAGAATTTCGTTAACGAATTTGACATTTAATAAGAGACAAAAACTTTTTAATTAGTTAGGAAATGGAGTTCAAGTCTCAGTTCGATTACTTCACCGGTAAGTAATATTCGATAGTAATAAAATAATTATTATGTTAAGATATATATTATCTCGTTTCATTGTTCCGGTTGGGTAACACTGCAGTTACTGCCATTTATTTTACTGCACCTATTTGTCAATGCGCACTTTCTTTTCTTTGTTTTAAATGTCATAATTATCTGAAATAACTTACGTTACGTCTGGGATTTTGCACGAAATGGTTATACATGTTGATACGGAGTCTTCTTTGATAATAAAATACTACATGTATTCATATAAGGAAAAGAAAAAGTTTTATTTTTTTTTAGTAATTAGATAATGATGGACTTCTTATGTATAAAACTGTTATCATTAGTTCGCAATTTATTGCAAACATTTAAATTCTAAGAGAATTCTTTTCTAAAATGGACGATTTAACTGAAGGTCTTGTGTTCGGATGTTACTATAGCTACTGCTACTTAATCCGAATGATCACTTTTCATACATTATTTTTTCAAATCTAGTATTCATGAAAATGTTCTTCATTATGAGCTTCAAAGCCTTTTTGGAGTAATAAGGGACATACATTAACTTTACTTGAATCCTTTACCAAAATATATTCACACTACAGTTCCCAAGCTATTTACTTGACCAACTAAAATCTGTATTACTAAACATTACATTATCCCTTATAGGGATAAAATGGACACTCGAGGTCCATTGTGAATGTATAGACACTCGCAAATCTAGCTATGCCAATCTATTTCATAGATATTCAACTTTATTTTACACGCTTTTAAGGTTTAAAATGTGTTATGTCTGTGTGTTTAAGTAGAGTCGTGACAAGCTGTCGGTAATTCATGTCTGACTGTATCGAGCAACTACCGGCGTTCACACGGTGTTGCGTGTGATACTGATTTAATTAACTTATTGATATATAAGTTACTGAATAAACGATTGTATGAATTGTCTGAAATTGTTCAAAATAGGTGTTTTCGTTTATGTTTATAGATTTGTGGTGAGTAATGAGAGTAGTGATTAATTGTGGAAAAATATATTATGTTGAAAGAATATTCTTCATAAATTTTTGCTCACGAGAGCGTCGACACGAGGTACAAGATTTTTAAAGTATTTTCGCTTATAACCTAGATTGTGTACAAGCAAATTTTAGCACACATATGAATAAGATATCATAACTTAATTACTTATAGCGTGCACTTCGCACGCTCAACCTGATTTCTAATGAAATTGACCTATTTTGTGGTACTCTAGGTGAATTCACAAGGAATGCATTATTTGTAATATGCTATAGGTAGATATTAAGATGGGCACATTTATCGCATTGGGCATTAACCTGTAAAGATAAATGTAAGTAGAATAAATAAATAAATAAAAAAAAAATAAACTGTAGCCCATAGGATAAGCAACTATAACATAACAATGATCTGAATTTTGATCGAACTAGCTAACAGTTAAATTTAAATCATTTAAGACATTTGAATACCGACATTATGTATTTAAGTGCATTAAAATAACATTCTAGATCTTAATAGAAAGTGAAATAGATTTTCCTACAAGCTCATTAGTTACTGGGGATGAATAGACTTGGCACCGCGTTACTACTTATATAACTGTTGTGTAAGTGACGCGGTTGTATGATGACTACGCACTAATATACAGGAAGAGTGCACTCGTGCGGTTTTTCGGAACATGTAATTCTTGATATTTATGCTTTAATGCGTATAAAATAATGTTTGGTCATTTGAAGGAAGATGACGGTGTCTGTTTGAATGTTAGGAACTGTTTTATAAACATTATAAACTTTTTGTTGAATCACCACCTATCTACTAAAAACAACCATATCAATATTCGTTGCGTAGTTTTAAAGATCATAATTCATAAATAGGGACAGACATCTGAAAATGTCTCTGTTTTATGTAGTAATGGTATTTTGTACGAGATATATTTTTTTTTAAACGTTGCCCCACACTAGGATTTTGTCCTGTGTCGTGGGTGCGTTTACAAACACACAAGTTCACATACACAATGACACCCAGACCCGAAACAATAATTTGTGGATCACACAAAGTGTTGTCCCGTGCGGGAATCGAACCCGCGACACGTTGCACGGCAGCCGGTTGCCCAGCCACCGCACCAACCGTGCAGTCGTGTGTGTGTGTGTGAATCTCGAAAACCGACGTACGGATTTTGATAAGGTTGAATGAAACCCCCAATGGATAGATAAATTGACCGCATAAAAGTTAGTAGCTATCTAAGATTTATTTTGATGAGTATTTTATCATACCATTGAAAAAAGTAGGAAATTAATAAAATGCAATAAGAATTGAATGTTTGCTCTCGGCGTTAATCAATAGAATAAATAAGATTTCTTTACTAAAATCTACACGTGTCAACTGTCAAGGTTTAAATTACAAAATGGACGTGGTAACATCATTTCCCCCTAAATATAACTGCGCATTTCGTTTGAAACATCAAAATATAATTTATGTGACATTAATTATAATTAGTTTTAACGAAATCTTATAACTAAATGCCCTTCGCGATGATTTAATGATGATGCTTAGGATTGCGTTGTTTATTTTTATTATTATATTAGCTTTTAAGCTGGCTATCATGTGACTTTTGCAAGACTGTATCATGATCATTAGATTAAAATAGAAAAACATTGACAACATAATGTCATTTACAAATAATTGAAGCACCAAAATGACAGTGGTGTCTTATGTGTGCGTGTACTCGCAATATCGTAATGTATGAAGTGTAATTACGCGCCATGTACGCGACAGATGTCCTTTGTGTCAATGTGTGTGTATTCTGCGTGTGAATCTATAGTAGCCAGGTGCCACGGTCGATGTTTCAAGAGACTATATCCGCCATTTTTCAACGTCCTTGGACACCATTAGAAAATTGTTATATAATTTGTTTTGTTGCACTTTTTCAGAATGTATAAAAATATTTAGGTACCTACATTTACTATTCGCTTTATGAATTTTTGTAATCATTTTTTTATTGGAGCACAAAAGCATTTGTAACGTGTTATTAACCACTGATCTATTTCGATGAATTTCAATTACCTATCACAAATATTTCAAAAATAGATGAAAATTAAACAGAACTGACTCTTTTCTATACACTGATTCTTTAAACGAAATGATGTTAGTCTAGTAAAGCATAATACATAGTTTCCTAGTCCAGTGATTGATTATACGCGTATACTCACGTACCGTGATTAGCAATTTTCTTCCATTACCAACTGGACTTCCTATTTTTTAGCCTTTTATGGAGTTGAAAGATCAAAGCCGATGTAACATTATGCTAATCCATGTACACCATTATGTAAGTGTCATTTATATTTAATATCATCATCAATGTTAATATTGAGGTGAGGTATTGAAATTAGAAATATTATAATTCTTGTTGTATTGGTTTTCTAAAACAAAATATTCGTCTGGGCTATAAATATGGTATTCATCAATCGCTAACTTGTAAAGGACGTAAAAGACGATGTTTTAAAGCGCGGGCTGAATCTACATATAAAAGTAAGACTTCGAATTTTAAAATACACTTGGATATTATGATTGTTTTACATATTATCATATGTAAAAAAAAATCTTAGTTATACTTTCTTCCATCTTACCTTCTTCTGAGAAGAGCTTGGAAGCTTCTACATCACACTAATATTATAAAAGTTTCTTTGTTTGATGTCTGTCCATCACGCTGAAACGGATTTTGAAGAAATTTGGTATATAGGCACGCTATGGGCTGACTTAGACCTATCACCTAAGTGTTTTATTCCTGTTTTATCATATTCTACGCGAACGAAGTCGTAGGCAATGGCTAGTAACACATAAATATCATGAAAAGACTACCAGCAAGGCTTAAATATTTAGGAACCTACTAGTCGCCAGATACGTAATGTAAGTAGGATGAGACTGGTCTATTGTTATAGCTATAATGCTGCATGCAACTCTGTTTTATAACTCAGAAAAAACAATATTTCAGTAAATCTTAATAGATTTTCTTATAAGAAACTTAATCGTTCTTCGTCTACAATATCTTACGAAATATAATATTCAATTTTTAGTCTCAACGTTTCAAGGTGTATTGTCATTTTGCACGATATGTTTCCACAGTGAATTTATTCTCAAATATCTGGGTTAGCTGGTGAAAGTGAATTCTGTCTGTTCAATTTTATATGTGAATATTTTAGGATTATTTTGCTTTAGTATCGGATTTCTTTTGCTTATATTATGTCATTGATTTTCATTAAGACTTGTTATGCGTGATTTCCTTTTATATTTCAATTTATCATTAGTAAAAATATCAGCTACATTAATTATCTAGATTGTTTGTTGTGTGGTCTATGTTAGCGAGTACATTCATTGAAAACTTGTAGTAGTGCTTATCTCTCGGAAAGCTAATAATATTATACGATGTGGTTACCACAAGTTACACTCGGCTAGCCAAGTCATCGTCTTTATGCGTCTCCTTTCATTAAGAGATAATTATGAAAGTTTATAGTTTATAGATAGTATTGAATACGTTTTCCTGGTCATACGTGAGGTAAGAAAACAATACAACTAAAACATAGTAACATTTATATCACTTTTTTAATACTTTCGTTACTATTTACATCGTCACAGGTACATAGCAGTCACAAACATTATCAAAAACAAACAATTACTAAACAAGATAACACTTTAAAGCTAAAGAAAAAATAAAGAGATCAGTTCTTTTAATGGTGGTGGTGGTGGTGCTCGTCCTGACCGCCCTCGTAGCCTCCGTCTAGGCCTCCTTCGTGGCCACCCTCGAATCCGCCGCCGAGACCTTCGCCTCACCATGTGACTCTTGGTGGGACTCCTCATGGTGCTCATGATGATGTTCATGGTGAATAATGGGCACATGTACCTTCACGGGGTAAGGCACGTGCTTTTCAACATGATAAGGCACATGCTTCTCAATGTGTACAGGGATTGGCCTGTCGACGGGGATCTTCACTGGGTACGGCACCTTCTTTTCTACTGGGTAGGGAATAACTTTCTCTACTGGGTATGGGACAGGGTAAGGCACTTTGACGGGGACTGGTACTGGCTTGTCGACGTGCACTGGCACTGGGTTGTCAACTGGAACCTTAACTGGGTAAGGCACGGGCTTCTCAACAGGGTAGGGTACGGGTTTCTCAACCGGTACTGGTACAGGTTCTCAACATGTACGGGTACGGGGTTGTCGACGTGCACCTGTACTGGGTAGTGGATAATTTTCTCAACGGGGTATGGTACTGGCACCTTGACGGGTACTTTCACGGGGAACGGCACTTTCTTCTCTACAGGGTAGGGATGAGGCACGGGCACTTTAACCGGGTATGGCACGTGCTTCTCGACGGGGTAGGGGACGTGTTCGTACACTTTCACTGGAACAGGGTTGTCGACGTGAACTTTCACGGGAACAGGCACGTGTTTCGTCACGGGGTATGGTTTAGGGATGTATTCGGGTACTTTGATGTATTCTTTGACTGGGAAGTGGACGGTTTTGACGACGGGGTAGGGCTGGGGTACGTGCACCTTGACAGGGTAGGGCACACGTTTCTCCACTGGCACGGGGATGTGTTTTTCGACTGGGTATGGCACGGGAACTTTCTTGACTACAGTGATGGTTTTGTGGACGTGGTGTTCCTCGTGGCCGTGTCCATGCCCCTCACTGCCGCCGCCGATCGATCCTCCGAAGTCGTGCCCGAAGGAGTCTCCACCGAAGTCGCCGCCACCAAAGTCGCCGCCACCAAAGTCTCCATGATCACCATAGTACTCCGATAATCCTCTTTTGTCTTGTCTCTTTGTTTCCTCTGCGGCTTTTGGTTCAGCCTTAGTGTCCTTCTCCGCCTTCTCCTCTGCCGTGGCCAGGCTTAACGCCACGGCCAGGATCAAGGAAGACCTCTGAAATGGAGAAAAACATATTCTGTATAAATTATTATCATAGTCATTACCACAAGTGTCAAGCGGATGATCAGAAACTATGTATACACACGCAATGATTCGCTGTAAATTTTCACCATGACTAATCTAAAACAACTACGATCGAAATTATATAGGAAACGTTAAATGAAAAGGGAAATTAACTTATACTGGTGAAATCTAACTGGAAGTGAACACAAGACAAGAACTTTCCGAGCATTGTGGGACAACTCATAACGACTAGTTATGCGAATAAGGAAACAGCTTTACGTAATATTGATCTAGTAACGCGTCTGTCACTTTAGTGATGTGATTAATTACGATTGTTTGACAGATGACACATGTGACGTAAAAAAAGAATATCGATTGACGCGAGTCCCGTTGCCACATTTAAAAAAAGAACACACAACGACACTTGACATCCGTACTGCACACACATAGAACACTGTCACTAGTTTTTTTTTACTAACCAGTAGCTTCATCTTCGCTTCGCTTGTTGTTCAGCGAATGTTACGCCGTGAGTGTATTCCAAGCACGCCAGTTACCAGGTTTTATACCTCATGCAAGTAGTTTACTATGTACGAGTGTTGCAAACACTTTCGCTGGTGTGAGTAACGGTTCTCTGTGTGAGTGTTGATTTTTTAAGAAGATGGGATCTAGCGGACCACTGTGAAGTTGGTTTTTTGAATTAAGATTTTTGGCATAGATTTATCGGTCTATGTGAAACCAAGTTGCCTCGTCGAATACTATTGAAGACTAAAGCAATAGTTAAAAAGGTTAAAGCTTTTTATCATTGCACATTTGTTTAATTAAAATAAATTTAAATTGACAAAAATGTATTCAAAATATTACAAAAACACAATTTAAGCTATGCATAATTAATTCAATTTGAGATTTATAATTTAGATACCCCAATATCCTTTTGCAACATCACTTTAATATTCCAATTCGATCACATGCACAGTCCTTTTAGAATCGATACGATTAACAACATTAGAAGAAAAATTGACCTCAACACTTCGACACACTTCGGTCCAAAAAATGAAGACACCCTTTTAACTTTTTGTTCTAGAAAAATGTCAAACTGCTCACGATCTTTTCCTTCACCGTTTAAAGAGGTGATGATGAAATGATTGCGTAAATATAGTGCGTGCCTACTGAGATCAAACTCACGACTAACATACTCTCAAATTCACTGGACCACCTGCACTCTAATTTATATTTTAACGACTAATTAATAAAATAGAAATTTGAATTATGTAATAGTTGAGACTAAACTTTATCAGTTTTACTCAATTAGTTATTGTTATTTTAAAATCTGTATAATTGATTAGGTTTTTGATCATTAAGGTATCAGTTTTAACCGCTGTTTGGTTCAACAGAATATTTGTAGTTGTAATATCTATTAATCTACTAGTAGTGGGTAACTAGCATAATATTATCATCATTCTTACACTGCAAAGAGATTAAAAGATAGAGAAACAATGGACAGTCAGTGAAGAAAATATTTCTTACCAAGACGCACAAGATACAAATGAATATCAGTGTACAGCAAACTACTAAAATAAACAGAAAACAATAATTTTCACCAATAACCAACAGTTTCACAAAAGTTTAAACCAATTATCAAATAGTGACTTCTACTCAATCAACGTTCCTCAATACCTCTGACATATGTAACAAGAAACTGATATAATATTAGGTAAGTATTATTTTAAAACTACACTGTTTCCACGCATCGATAATCAGAGCATTTATTACAGTTGTAGTTAACGACGCTAACCTTATAAATAAAGGCTTAATAGCAAATTCTGTCAGTGTTGGTTACCTATTTAAGTAACTGTTCCTTAGTACGTCGTTGACTGCCTCGTTGGACGAGTGGTCGCAAGTGAGACTGCCGGTCAAGGGGTTTCGGGTTCGATTCTGGTGTCGGGCAAAATATTACTTTTCTTTCTTCTTTCAGAAAGAAAGAAAAGTAATTTATTCGTCATTAGACATGACCCACCAAATATACAAACCTAAAATAAAAAAATAAATACAAAATTAAAAAACAATTATTACATAAAGTAAAAAACAGCAGCGAAAAAACAAAAAAAATTAATAGGTAAACCACGTTCTAACACCGCTTTTGGTTAAATATGTAGATGTAGTCTTGAATTCAAAAAAATTAAGTAAGTTACTCTCATAATAAATGCAGGATCTGTGCTGGGCAACTGGCTGCTACGTAACGTGTAGCGGGTTCGATCCGCAAAGCAACTCTTTGTGTGATCCACAAATTGTTGCTTCGGGTCTGTGTGACATGTGTATGTTAACTTGTATGCTTATAAACGAACAAACGACACTGGAGAAAATCCTAGTGCGGGGCAGCGTTTTCAAAGAAAAAAAGTGTGTTTTTATAATAACTATCGTGAGACATACTAAATTAACTAAAATAACGGGTTACTCACGTGAATATACTGAGAAAAGCTCTACTAGTTTCGAACCACAGAGGAGTTCCTCATAAGCAGCGTGCGCGGTCGCGGCGATTTCGCGACCGCGCACATGAGTAAACCGCGATTTTAGTTTAAAAAAAGTGTGGTAAATAATTGACACAAAGACACGGTTTTATTACTTATGACCTCATAATGAAACTATGTCTATGAATTTACGCAGCTTAGAGTTCATGACCCGCGACATGTAACTTCGCAACCAAAAAGTTTTTATTTTAATTTACTACGTAATAGTGTGTGTCTGTCCGTTTAGTGTCAGGTAATTTACGTGACTACTATGTTGATTGAGTGTTTAAGTGCAACTGTCGAGTATTACCTATTAAGTTTCGATCGACGTATCGAGTATAACAATCAAAACTGGATAACATTACATGCTTTGAGTTTTAGACTTTAATGCGAATTTATTATTTTACCTGAATTATACTAAATAAGTTGTTTTTTGAGAAGCGATATCATCGATAGTCTCCTACTGTCCAGAGTGAGGCGAGAGAGAGTGTCAGACTCTTACTGACTAAAAACCACCCTGTTACAAATTCTGTTCTGAGATGCGCCATAGTAATTTAATGCAACTCTAGCCAAGCATCGGTACTAGTGGATCCCATCTGTGATATTCTGAAGGTTCTTTGAGGCCTTCAAAATAAGCTTATATTGCGTTTCACTGTGTGCATGAGTTTACCGGAGACCTAACCTCATACCCCAGAAAAGGCCAACAACGCACTTGTAAAACCTCTGGTGTAGTTGGCTTCTGATTGCTTATCCTCAAAATAGTTTACCCCTTAGTAGCACCTATATTCCTAGTTTATGAGTAGTTATTTTGTGCACCTCTTTGAAGTAATGCCAGATTTCCTCACGATGTTTTCCTTCACCGTTTGTCAGTGGTGTCTAAATAATCTTAGAAAGTACATATAATTCGAAAGAAGTTACATTGGTACTTGCCGTTGGTAGGTTTCGAACCCGCACCCTCATGCATGAGAAGCGGGCGTCTTAACCTCCGGGCCACCACGACTTTTTTATTTATTAATTTAAAAAAAAACCTTGTCACACACTAGGTTTTTTTTTGTGTCGTGGGTGCGATTACCAACATATAAGTTCATATACAAAGGACACCCAGACTCAGAACAACAATTTGTGGATCACACTAAGAGTTGCTCCGTTCGGGAATCGAATTTGCGGCACGTTGCGTGGTAGCCGGTTGCCCAGCCACCGCACTAACCGTGATGTCTAAATATGTATATCTAATATATAAATATAATATCGGTTCCCTCAACGCTGTTGAAAGAGTATTAAAGGAAATTAGTTAGTATTTCCCTCACGTAGGACTCAGTTTAGAATCCGTGGTCAGAATCTGCATGTTTGTATTTACAAGATTAACTATAATACATATTATTGGAGGTACACTGTCAAACCACTTTATGTGCTTCCTGTTCGATACTTATCTCTATAGTGGTACGTTTGGTCGTTTGTATGTTGACGTATTTTCCCAGGAAACTTGTTTTGTTTTGATTGGTCAGCTGATCCAAAGCTCGATGTTTTGCTCATTGTAAACTGTTATGGCGCGGGATTCTTTTGTACCTTATTGATCATTATCGTCTATAAGGAGTCCAAGGCTGAATATACGCCTCCCCCAATGACTATTATCATACATAACATAACATCACGCTTTTTATATCCAAAAGGGTAGGCAGAGGTGCACATTATGGCACTTAATGCCACTGTACAATATAATACCACCTACTTTTGCGTTGTAAGTCCCATAAATTAGGGAGTAAGCCTGTCATACCGGGCACAATTCCAGACTAATATCCGTGCTGAGATTTTTTTTAAATCCTTGAAATAATTTACCCCGCCCGGGATTCGAACCCGAGACCTCTTGCCCAGAACTCGTTGTCGTTGCGACAACTCAGCCAATGAGATAGGCACTATTATTAGATGAAATTAATAACATAATTGGAGGATCATTAATTAATTATCCTTCTAATATACATAGCTTGATTTCTGCAACCCTCCCCACATTATTAGTCTTATTCAATAAGGCTCCATGACTTCTAGAAATTGTTATGAAACTTCAAGTGTACAACTTTTAACTGTAGTAGTATTTAAACCGGCGACCTTGAGCGCACCATGCTCTGGAGCTACCACTTACGCCATCACGCCCTAGTCGATATCAAGTTCCCTTTCTTCGTTCAATGACATGGGTATTGCTATATGTTTAAAAGCAATATTGATATAACTTTCATCGCTGTTTTTATTACAGTTTTCTTTGGGTGAAGATGAACTTATTTTTGGAGTAGGTAGAAATGTATCTGCTGTAAATAAGAAAGGAGAAGGAAATAAAGGAGCACATTTTATTTGCATCGGTTTAAAAATAAAAACAAGAAAACTAGTTAACAAAAATAAGGTCTGTTTGATTTGTTTCGCGGCGCTGAGGAAGCGACAAATCGAAACCGAGACCTCTTGCCCGGCAGTCATATTTACAATCACTCGGCCAACGATGCAGTCATATTTTTACCGACTTCAAAAAAAGGAGGAGGTACTATGTTCGGCTGATTGTTTGGGCCTTATGTCTGTGTCGGTCTGCCGTCCCATCACGTCAAGGGTTGTTTAACAAATAATTTAGATACCTTAACGAAAATATCATTTTAACAAAAAAAAAAGGGTATCTTTAAACACAAGGATCGATAAATTATTCATGGGATACTTATGATCTGAAATGGTTGATCCGAAGGAGATATTTTAGTTGGTTTGCTAGTAGAATCGCTGGGTTCAGGTCGTCTTCAAGATAGAACTAAAAGTCAATTGGGGAGGCCTGCAGTGGATGTCTACTTGTTATTCAACTGCTGTAGGGAGTGCCCCGATACGGAGCCGCGCAGAAATTAAGGGGTTACTGGGACTTCGGCTCGAAGTGCACTTAAAGGAAACATAATATACAAAGGTCATAAACCTTTTTGATATGACACATATAACAATGAATAACCAAGATTTTAAATAGTGCC